TTTGTTTGGGGAGTGTGATTGTGTGTACAGTGTCCATGTATGTCTATCCCTACGTTGAGTGAGTGCTGAGTATTTGTATATGTGTGCATGAGGGTGGGAATGCATGTTTGTGTCTGTGTGTGCCTGTTTGTCTGTGTTTATATGTCAGGTTGGGTCTTACACTCCACCTCTCTGGGAACTCCCAGGCCCTCCAAGGCCTATCTCCCCTCACCAAACTCCCTGCCGGTAACTGATGCCCTCAGGGGTCGGTGCGTTGGTGGTTCTTGGTGTCCGGGGCTGGGCGCTCAGGTATGTACCAGCTCACTCCCGGTGACTACTTGGCAGGGCCTGGTGCCTGTTGCTCGGTCAGGCCTCTTCCCGGGGCAAAGGGGGCCCTCGGGCCTCCGGCCTCTGGGCCTGCGGTTCACTCTGGCACAGCTGGCTGCCGGCAGAGCCACCACTGGGTGACCCCTCATCTGGGGTTCTCCTCAGCTCTTCCCAGGAGGGTGGCACGGATGCCCCTCCGGTGGCCCTCCTTGGGCTCTCGCACTCTGGGGCCTCTGGATGTCTGGAGGCTGGATCGCCTCCATGCCTGCTTCATGCCCTGGGGGACAGGACTATGGCTCTCCACATCCTCTAGCACAGTGGTTCCCAAACTTTTTTTGCTGGGCCCCCCTTTGTTTTACAAGAAAAATGTTCGCACCCACCCGCAAGCATGCACGCACACATCCTCCAACCACACACGCCCATATTTTGCTCCATTGCGGTTTATTTCACACCTCAAACATTTAGTAAACAATTAAGCAAATACAAGTAATCTGCAATAAATTACAGGTAGTAAGAAAATAAACTACTAAGTCTTTTACGCTACGTCCACACCTACACGGGTATTTTTGAAAACGCAGCTGTTTCGTCCAAACGTAAACGACGTTTCGAATCACCGAAAACAGAGATTTTTTTAAAACTCCTTTTTTGCATTTATGTGTGGACGAGGAATACAGAGTCTGCTCTAGCAGACCATGACATGGGGAAACCTTTTGAATACAAGCGCGCTGATCCACACAGGTGTGCACACGGGTGTTCACTGTTCATAGACATAAACTACACTTCTATCAACAACATTCAGTATTTAGTATTTACTGCTGTTTACACTTAGCTAGATTAACGTGATGGTGTTGTGTTTAGTATGTTGCTCTGTTTTTTTTGCTTGTTTTCTCTTCTTCTCTTTTTAAGTGCCCTTTCTCACTAAAAAAAAGAATAAAATAAAAAACTGGATAAAAACTTCACCCTTAAAAAAGAAAAAAGAAAAAAAAGAAACAGTTGGAAGTCACGCACACAGAGAGACACACATTCTCACACACTCACTCAAATACACACACACACACACAGTGCCTTGTCTTAGAACCATTTGGGGGTTTTACGGTGGGAGGTGCTTGTGTTGTATTGTAACTGTCATGCCAATAAAAGGCAGCAAGAGGAGGCCGTTGTTGGGGTCAGTCTACAGTAGGATTCAGAGTGCTTTCTGAGACACCGGCCGGGGCCTCCCTTGCTAGCAAGTAAAAGATGTTCGTCTTTTTTTTGTCGTTAACGAGAATACGTTTCTAAACTAGCAGGGCTTGTGGAAACACAGACCCAACACCTGCAGCATCAGAATCTGTGAGTAGAACGGGGGGGCTCCACGCTCTGTGTTTACATTTTTGAAGGGAACTTGTTTACCTGCTCTCATTTACTGTTTTAGCTGTTTGGTGATTGTTGAAACAGTTTTGTGAGCTTTAACCTGAGATTCTGGTGTTTCTGGTAAAATACATAAATATTTGAAAATCGATTCAGGATTTAATGAACGCATTATTCAAAATGAAATCAGGGAAATTGATTTTTTAAACCCACCCCTAGTGACACCCGGGGCGATCGTGGCTCAAGAGTTGGGAGTTCGCCTTGTTGGAAGGTTGCCGGTTCGAGCCCCGGCTTGGACAGTCTCTGTCGTTGTGTCCTTGGGCAAGACACTTCACCCGTTGCCTACTGGTGGTGGTCAGAGGGCCCGGTGGCGCCAGTGTCCGGCAGCCTCGCCTCTGTCAGTGCGCCCCAGGGTGGCTGTGGCTACACTGTAGCTTGCCATCACCAGTGTGTGAATGTGTGTGTGACTGGATATGTAAAGCGCTTTGGGGTCCTTAGGGACTAGTAAAGCGCTATATAAATACAGGCCATTTTACCATTTACCACCCCTGTCCACAAAGTGGATTTTCAAGGGTTTGTTGACAGTATAAAAAAGGGATTCTTGATGGACCAGATACATCTGCCTGTGGCTGCATCACTAATCCAGCCACAAACCACAGGCACTCGCTCTGCATTGCCAGCACTACAGAAACGAAACTTTGTGGCTTAAGGAAGGATTTAATAATCAACTCTCAAACCTGCTGGGAGTTTGATTCCCTTTAAACAGTTGTACAGGTGCAAGTTCATGGTCTTTCTGTAGGCATCATGAAATGCATCCAAATACTCCACTGCTCGACTAGACAGCAAGGCCTGAGAACTGATCATTTAATAGCCTGGCTCCCTCACATCACTCACAGAACCTTTGGGCCCTCTACAAAAGCAGGACCTACAGTAAACCAAGACAGTACTCCTTTTTGAACAGCATTCAGGGGGCATTACTGCTGTTTAGGGCAAAAAAAATGATTTTGACTACCACACACAAGCTCATTTTTATAGTCTGCAGATAAACAGTGGCATTAACACACAGGACTGTAGACAGACTTCTGCTTACTTTGCTTCCTCATCTCTGGCTACAAGAAGTCGCATGTGATTGGTTGCAGAGGCTGCTCTCAAGATATCCACAGCTCTGTGAAACACATGCAAACACATTTACACAGATTGTCTTCCAGCATCACTACTGTTAACATGAGAGCAGTGACTTTAGCAGATTACCTTTCACTTGTGACACCTACTAGGCTGTCCCCATTCACTTCCAAGATCTGGTCCCCTGGCATCAGGTTTCCTGTGAAAGGTTAAACACAGATTACATCCAAGTGCAGAGGGGAGCTGTCAGCTGGACAGCAGTGGTTCATTTTGGATGTTTCTTTCTTTCGGGTTGACCCCAAAACGTGTTATATCTTTAAAGAAAGTGTTGTCAAGTGAATGAGCTGCCAGGTTAGTTATATATAATGCAATATAATATTATATAATAAGCTCAGGTTATTCATGCTCAGTTATTTCTAAATCAATAACAATTATCCATTACTGTATCACGTTTGTGTAATCGAAGAAAACCTCAGTTTTGCTAGAGTTATCTGATTTTTACTCTACTGCAAACGTCTTAGAGTAAGTTTAAAAAGAACATAGAAAACAAAATACAACATTGTTCACTTCAAATGAAATATTACCCAGAAAGTGAGCTGCTTGGCTGAGGTTTTCAGTCTCAGAGTGAGTCCTTGTTCCATTATACGAGCTTCTTTCAAAGTTTTGTTTCGATCATGGATTGGCCTCCCCAAAGCCCACACATTACTGAAGCAGTGTGAGATCATCTTGACAGAGAACAGACCAAAAGGCAGAAACATCCAAAGAAGAGCTTTGAATGTCCTTCAAGAAGCCTGGGGAACGATTCTCGAAGACTACTGAAAGAAATGACAGAAAGCTGCCTCAGAGAGTTTAGGCTGGGCTGAAGAAGAAATATTCCCAAATAGTCCCTTTCAAATTCGCTGGAACTAAATGAACTCTCTTTTTGCCTTATATCCTATAGGACCAGTGAATGTGTCTTACAGAAAAAGGGATTTATGATATGAAGTCCATCCAGCCATGGGGGGTGGCTGTAGCTCAGGAGGTAGAGCAAGTCATCTACATCCACTTGGTGGTTTGATCCGTGGCTCCACCCTAGTCTGCAGGCCAAATATCCTTGTACAGTAAATGAGAACAAGAAGACTGTAGAGAGTTCCACTGGGATTAAAGACCATCCGTTTGATGCTGAGGACTTTGATTCTGCACATTGTGTGCCGTAGTCTGAACCTGCTCATGGTAACATTTATCTGGCCACTTCAAAGACTGTGTTCACTGAGTTAGATGTCTGACAGACATGCTGAATGGTGATGATGGATTTTTTTCCCTCTAGTGACACCAAACATGCTGCGTACCTCAGCTTTAAACCAACATGAGACTCAGTTATGAGTTAAACAGCAACATCTTGCACATTTTAGTGTGAACTCACTTGGAATTGACATGAAAATCTTAGTGAGGAGTCGGGGATGTGAACTGTGAGCTCAGCTCTTCTAACTGGAGTTTAAATGTCAGACTGGTGGGTCAGGAAGAGACCAGCACTGCGACAATACAGCAAAACTCTTTGATCTGTATACCAGCAGCTGAAGAAGAATGTGGCCTAACTAAAGTCAAGCATATGTGGTGTTCTGGACAAGCTGTAAGAAACAAACAACAATTTTTACAGACACTTCTCTCTTTGCCCTATATCCATCATTCATGGTGCGATACACAAAAAGTAGGCCAAGACAATCTTGTGGTGTATATTATTCATGTTTTAATACTCACAGGAGATATGCTCCAAAAATACTTGTTCTCACTGCAAAGGTCTTCAGTCAGGCCACTGTCAACATCCATTTCTATTCTTTGGCTTTTGGAGTCATTCACATGATCTTCATGAATGGCAAAATTTAGCACAAGGGCTCGCTAAATTTCTACATTATGTAGTAAAGGCACAAACAAAGGATTTGTGCATTTAAAATAACACCAGCACCGCTGCAGACTGCATGCTTGGTCTCAACCGACATGTTCAAGGTGTTGCTGTGAAATATCGGAGGAGACAATGGAAATGTCCACAAATAACTGCTGTACTGTTATGTGGCTTTTCTATAGGCCAAGCCAACTTGGTCTTCTTCACCTCTTTTGAACTTTCTGGGAAATATTCAGGAATTACCCATTCAGTAATACTGCTTCACATAGAGCCTATAAATGTTCAGTCATTCTCCAACAGAGATGTTGGAGAATGACTGAACATTTATAGTCCCACAAGTATTTTCTCTTTTTCTTATCGCCCCAATTCAGAAGCTGAAGTAGAAACTTTTACTGCCTTTGTTCTAGAAATATTATCTTCTGTGTTGGGGGTCAAAGTAACTAGTCTAAATTCAGACTGTGCTGTTCTAGCACAGTCTGACCAAAGGTTTCTGGATTTCAAGTCTTACCATCAGTTGAAGCAAGGCCACCTGGTAAAATCCGTTTGACGTAGACTCCAAACTCCTCTCCTGTTACCTCCTTCACTCCACCTATCACTTTAATTCCTGTAGAGAGAGAGATAGAAAAAGAGTACTTTAATGGGTTTTCCAGTGTTTCTTTAATGATTTTTTGCTCTCCAGCCACTTTGTGCCTTGTAAAAAATGACTGTCCTCTCAAGATGGCAGTGGAGTCACTGCCTGGAAACAATGCATCATAGGGAACACTCTGATTTCCAGGTTAATGACAGTCCTGCAAAAACCTGCTCAAGCACAACAGACAGAGGTTCATGTCTCCTGGCACACTGTTGTCAGATTTCTTCCATCTATGACCTGGTTACATTTCTTACAGCTCAAAGGGGTTCATTTGACTGACGGGCTTCCCTCTGCATTATTGTCTTTACCCTTAAATAAAACTTAATTGAATTTCTGAAACAAAACGAGCTGGTTGGACTGTGTGCATTTAGACTGTGTTTTCTTGTCTCTGAAACCTGTGCCACAGCAACCACTAAGCATAGAAGAAAGTCTTTATGACCAGATCAAGCTTTATGTAAAGCACTCTTACTTTAATGCACTTTCCCCCGTACACTAAATCACCACTCCACCACTATGTCACTGTTCCACACCATTTCCACAGTAAGAAGCAATTCAATTCCAAACAGAAGAAATGCCCCTGTGGGCCTGTGAGCTTGAGGGTCCTGCTCAGTATTTTACTGTTCCTAGGACAGTATCCTTCTGGACAGAGATCTCCAATGTTGTTCCTGGGATCTGCTGGAGCCACTTGCCTTGCTTGGGAGTCACTGCTCCAGTTACCACTGGAACCACTGTTAGCTTCACCTTCCACATTTTTCGAGTTCTTCTCTCAGCCGGTGGTACTTCTCCAGCTTCTTGTGTTCCTTCTTCCTGACATTGCTGGTATAGCTACTAGAGATGGACTGATATTACGTATCGGTATCGGTCCATCTCTAATAGCTACATCTATTACTGCGGCCATCTCTGGTTGTCCACCACTACTATGTCTGGTTCGTTTGCCATCACCAGTTTGTCCATGTGTATCTAGAAGTCCCACAGGATCTTAGCTCAGTCATTCTTGACCGCCCTAGGGTGCGTCTCCTATTTTGACCTTAGGACTTCCAGGCTATACTTGGCACTGAGGTATTCACTAAGCACGCGGTCAGTTATAGTCATCTTCCTGATGTACTCGTGGATGTTCGTTGTCTCATCCTGGACTGTGGTTCTGACATTCAGTAGTCCCGGGCCTCCTTCCTTCCACTTAGCGTCTCAGGATGCTTGACTTGGGGTGAAGCCCTCCATGCCCGGTAAGGAGCTTCCTTGTCTTGTCAGTGGCTTCTATCTCCTCGTTTGGTCACTTTATTATCCCAGCAGGGTACCTGATCGCCAACAGGTTGTAGGTGTTGACAGCCTAGATCTTGTTCTGACCATTCAGCTGACTCCTCAGGACTTGCCTGACCCTCTGCAGGTACTTGGTGGTTGCAGCTTTCCTAGTCTTTCCCATTTGCCTGTGGGATCCCCAGGTACTTGTAGCTGTCCTCAGTGTCTACATGTTGCCTTCTGGTAGCACGATCCCCTCAGTCCCCTCTGACTACCTTCCTTCTCTTGTTACCATCAGACTACACTTCTCCAGTCTAAATGATGGATGGTGACTTGTGCTATTGGCTTGAAGTTGGCCTCTAGTGTTGTACACCACATCCCCATTGAGTTTCTGATGAAGGCTTTTAGGGTCCCGTTGATCTTATATAGTTCTAGGATCCATGTGTAGAGCATCGAGTCATAGGCCTTCAGGTAATCAGTCTCGGGTGACTGCTATGTCTACCAGAAGCCAGTTTTCTCCTCTGGTATTCCTGCTCATGTGTCAAGCCACATGCCTGTTTATCTTAGCTGCTATGATGCCTGACAGGAGCTTCTATGTGGTACCGAGGCAGGTTATTGGCTGGTATTTGGATAGGACCAGTCCCTTCTGGGGATCCTTGGGAATCAGGACCTTCCGGCCTTCAGTTAGCCATTCTGGGTGCGTTTCATCCATTAGCAGCCTCATTGAGTGCAGTCAGCTTCTTCAGCCAGTAGGCGTGAATCATACTGATCAGATCAGCTGATTAGTCTCAGTGATGGTTGCAGTAGGGATTGTCTATAGTGCTGCATTCAAGTGCTGCTTCTAGTAGACCTTCAGAGGGTAACTTATGTAATCTTTCTAACTGGCTACAGAGGACCCAGGTTTCCAGCTTCGGCATGATGCAAAGGAGAAAAACTCCAATATGGATAGAAAACGAATAATAATAATAATCTTATCACTACCAATTAAATGTAAATAATTTAAGCAACAGTAACTATAACTGAATCAGTGGACAAAATGATTCCACGTTCATGTGTTTTATGCACACTTTACACACACAGCTTCTACAGCTCCAACAGCCCATCTGATTCCTGCACGTGGATCTTTCATCACTGCACTCCACAGAGAATATAGTAGAGTTAACGCTGAAATCAGGCCTTCTTTAGCTTAAGGCTTCCACTGGCCTGCTGGAGCCAACACAGAGTGTTACAACTAATTGGGTCTGGAGTGAAGGGCTCAAGTTAATTATCGCCTGGTGGAACAGTGGGGTTTTAAAGTTCCTTGTCTCAGTCCTCCCATCCTTTTATACTCTTCTCTGAGGAAAACAGTTTCTTGTTCTTTTAAGCCTCAAAGCAGTCTCCTCCCCTCATCTATCATCAGATAAGAAAAACATGCAGCTGGAGCAAATATGAAAGACTTGCATCCCTTGTTCTTATTCAGCTTTGCATTTACTTTCCGAATCATTACTTCCCATTCACAATGAGTCAAGGGCATATTTCTTACACAAGAACTGAATGTTCCAGATCTAAATAAAATGTGGGGTTATTCAGTGTGATTACAAAAGGTTCTTAAAATGGTTTCTTATTCGCCAGATAACACAAGAACGTGAAATATAAAATGTTTGTTGAGTAGGGAGAGTGATTTTTGAAAACCGTCTTCTTTAAAGCACAAGCTGCAGATACTGCCAACATGTCAACAAAATGAACTGTGACGGACACGATTTTCACTGCAAACACTGTCCCCTGCCCACAGGCTGATGCTGTGCTGCTTTCAGCTGCACTAACAGAGAGATTCAAAAGTGCTGTCCTCCATATGCGATTGTATGCTACAGTGTGTACAGCAGCCCTTCCCCCTGCTGAAAGCTACATGTGTGCACTAAGGAAGCCTTAAGACTTTAATATATGTATCAGAACACTTTATTCACCTGCATGTGCTCAGGTTGGATGGGAATTAGTTGCTTTGCTTCTCACCTGCGTGCACATATTGATACAAAGGTTGGCTTTTATGCATCTTCATTCTTCAGACTTTTTGGCTTTCCAGTAAGTCAAAAAACCTTTATGACGCTGACACATATGTATAAATACAGCACAACCAATTACTTAAAATCACTGTTATGCCAAAAGCATAACTGGATAGAAAATAAAACCCTCACAGTGGCCAGTTCATGACCGATGGTTATGGACTGGACTCCTCAAAGCCCGGACCTCAACATTATTGAAGCAGTGAGGGTCATCTTAAGAGAACATCCAAAGAAGAGCTTTGACTATCCATCAAGAAGCCTGGAGAACTATTCCTGAGGAACACTTAAAGAAATGACAGAGTCAGAGTCATGCTCAGTCTGTCAGCTGCCTCAGAGAGTTCAGGCAGTGAAGAAGAATAAAGGTGTTCACACCAAATATTCACTTTCAAATTCTCAGTAAATCACTGGAGCCATTTCTCATTTTCCTAGCCAAATATATATTGCATAACATACATATACGCACTTTACAAAAGCATATAAAAGGCACACAAATTGTGTGCATTTCTTTTATTTGTCAAAATAAATGAGAAAACAGAGCTGCCCTGTGTACTCTGACTCCCTGAATTCTGTTATTTAATATTTATTACTGCTTTAAATGTTACATTTCAAGAATAATTATAAACTGTATGTTCAGAACTTAAACATATTCAGTTTTATTTAAATACTGCCAAATCACAAGTTGCCTCAGCAGTGCACACGTTCTTTATGCCATCAGCTTCTGCAAACGTTACTAAACATCAAATCATGTAAGACATCATCTTGGACATGTCAGCAATAATAGAGTAATACAGTTCTGTTCTGAGGAGATTTACACAACCTCATGAATATATATGTGTGGACGTATAAATATGGACATAAATATATCTATATAAAGTAGTTTTGCTTCACTGTGATGTTTGGCAGCTTGACAGTAGTTGCATTCATGGACATGAGTTGTTTTTTCTTGCTTAGGCACAAGTTGCAGCAGCACAGTGATAGTGCATAGTAGATAGTGGAAGTGGAGGATAAAAACAACAGCAGCTCCTGTATTCTTAACCCCACTCAGTTAAGTAGGTTATGGCTTTGACCTACTTCCCCTGCTTGGCAAACACAGTGATCTGTAGCATGATACCTACTCTGCAAATCCCTTTAAAACGCAGACTAATATTATTTAATCTACTCATTATCATGCTCCATCACCAGTGGTTAGTGGAGGATGGTTGAATAAGGCTATGTAGATGATTCAGACTTGGTGTAAAGAACTGAATTCTGTTGGGTCCAAAATGTTGTTTTTTTATTAAATTCATGGCTTCATCTCAGCTTGTATGTGTTTGGTCAACTATTGGGTATAAAGTGTCAGACCACTACGTCCTGTGAGGGGAACAGTTTCTCTCAGAACTCAGGTTATGTTGACACACCTGCAGAAAGCACGAGCTTTATTCACGAGGACAAGTTTTTGTCCGAGTGTGTGGCCGAGCCTGAAGTGGATGTCGTGCTTGGAGAAGCTTCTCCTCTGATAAACCTGCTACACAAGGGATGACAATGTTTTTCCGTTTGTCGTTCAGTTTCTCCGCAGCTGACCTTCTTTCCTATGCATCTTTGCTGATTTGACAAAGGTCCTGTTGGGATAACCACATGTTTTAAGAACTTTCTATCCATGCGTGTTCCTTTTCTTTCTCTTCTCTCTGGTGTTGCAGGGTCCTGATTACTCCAAATTTGTGTTCCACAGGATGTTTGGAGTCAAAGAGTAGGTACTAGTCTGTGTGTGTGGGCTTCAGTGTTGAGGTTTCCATCTTCCTCAATGCATACAGCACAGTCCAGAAATGGCAAACTATTATTCTTCTACTTCTTGGGTTTTGATTTTGACCCAGATGTCATCCACATATCTGTGCCGGTCTTTGGGGGCTGTTCCTTTGAAAGAACCAAAAGCTTTACTTTCCACTTCCTCCTTATAAAGGCTGGCTGCAATGGCTGACACCGGGGAGCCCATGGCACATCCATATTTTGATGTACAAACCCTGGTTGTATGTGGTGGTGAGGCGGGGTGAAGCTGATTCTGTTTTCTATGGCGCGGTCTTACTGTAGGTGTTGGTAAGTTTTTGTTTGCCATATGTGGAACTTCCAAAATCGTTCTTCTCCTTTAATGTCTTATGGAAACTGTGCTTTGTCCACAAACTAATGGATCACTAAAGTCAACGTCATTTCATGGACATTTTTTTACTAAATATGTTACAGTACAGTACTGGCTACTTTTTAAGTAATCACTATTTGAATGCGGATCCTAAGTCAGACGTGAGCTGTGTAAGCAGTCAGACAAGTGCGAGTGAAAAAAATGAAAGAACTTAAGTTGAGCATCTTATTGAAGTTAAAGAGCCAGAGCAACATCTACAAGCAGCAACACATGTGACCTCTGCAAACACAAAGGAGAGTAGTCGAGTGTTGAGGTGTGTGGGGACAGAAGTATGAAAAGACTTACCTAGGCCATTCTCACAGTCTGTAAACTCCATGGAATGAACAGCCCGGTCAACTCCGTATGGACCCATTAGTGTCCTGTTAGAGGTCAGTGGATAAAAAGGAAGCAGGAAGCAGGGAAAGGAAAGAGAGTGAGGGAGAAAAAGATGACGAAATAGGAAAAAAAACCCAAATCTAACTATTTTTTTCACAGGCTGCACTGCTACACAGTCAGAATCCATCCATCACATAGGAGAACAATAGTATTGGGAACTTAACCTCAGATAGCTTCTCCTGTCTAGGCCTGAGACTTTGTCACCACACACAAGGCAAGGAGTGTGTCTTCAGTGTGTGCTGCAGATACTTCGTTGTGAAAATTAGTCTTCTATTCATGGTACTGTCAAAAATCTTTCTCAAATTATGAACACAAAAGAATTCTTTCCTCACACTGCTGTTTGAAGACAAGACCAAATACAGCTGTGACAGTAGCAGAGGAAGCAGAAATGAGACGGCAGCATTGGGTAACTCAAGAGAATCTTGGTAAGATCTCACACAGTGAGCAATTCTCTGAGAGATAGGGCTGGCACACATGTTGTTCGTCTTATGCAATAATGCTGCACAAGAGGACTGCACACTGCAGCTTTCCCCTTTTCCCTCTTTACTAATCCTCATCTAACACTTGCAAAGCATCCCTTTGCTTCCCTCATTAGACACTGCTAAAGACAATGCAGAATACTGCAAATGAACAAACCACAAATGTCACTTTTTTGGTATCTGGAACGATGTCTTTTTAGCACTTTATTTTAGTTTGCAGTTCCCTTCCTGTCTACACCCAAATGACAAAAAGGACTATCAATATTTTAGCTGCAGAGGGTTCGCCACTGCTGTCAGTAACAACAATGAGGCTGAACTTCGAAAGAAACACTGGCTGATAACACAAAGATGCAACGTTCAGGATGGAGCTGGACCTTTTAAAATCATCTGTTAAGGATGGATATACAGTCTCACACTAGAACAGCGGGATTCACTGTTGATTTTTGTATTTTTGTGGTTTGGATTCATTTTACTGCTTTGGGCTGTCTTTGATTAATGGTCATGACAATTTGCATATTAATGATGAAGAAACTGAGCTCACAGCCCGTTGTTCAGTGGTGCTAGTTTCAGTTTTTAGGCAAATGTACTGTTTATAAGGTTGGGGAAACCTGCGCTTGGATGAGTGATGAAACGTTTCTCCTACTGAAAATGCTAATTTGTATTTGTATTCCTTGGACCAGAGAGCGGGTTTCTTCTTTGCTACAGTCCATTTTAAATGAGCTTTGGTCCAGAGAATCACTGATCATGTTCACATATGGCTTCTTCTTTGCAGGGTGGAGCTTTAACCTGCATGTGTGGACAGCACAGGAAGTGTTCCTGAGCCCATGCATCATTTCCACCACACAATCGTGTCTGTTGTTAATGCAGTGCTGCTTGAAGGACCAAAGATCACACGAACAAATGAAAAAAAGAAAATGAAAAAAATTGTGAAACTGCACCACAGTTTGTTGGCAGTTTTTTCATCAGCCTCTCCACGACACTCTTTTCATACCCAGTTGTGTTACTTACTAGTTAACCTGATTAGCTGCTAAATGTTACTCCAGCTGTTTCTTTTGAGCACCACTTACTTTTCCAGGTTTTTGTTGCCCTGACCCATTTGTTTTGAAAGATGTTGATGCCATTTTCATGAAATACAGTCCTGAACAAAACTTTAAGACCACTTGAAAAATGGCAAAAAATCCTATTTTGCATGTTTGGATCTTAACGAGGTACCAAGTCGAGCTTCAACATGCAACAAGAAGGAATGGGAGTGACACAAAACATTTTTTTGAGCATGCAAACAATGCTTAAACTGAAACAGGCTGTTTTACAGCTGATCAAAGTTTAGGACCACACCTCCAAAAAACCTGTAAACCCCCCAAAACAGAAATCAATGTTGCAAACATGAACTCAGTAATGAGTCGCTCCACAGTGATTGTTGATCACTTCAAAAATTCGTTGTGGCATGCCTGATGCAAGTGTTTCCATGAGGTGAGAGGGAACATTTCTCCAAGTGGTGAAGACGGCCGCATGAAGGCATCTACTGCCTGGATCTGTTGTCGGTTTTTGTAAACTTCCCATCCCCAAAGGTTCTCAGTTGGATTTAGATCAGGGGAACACACAGGATGGTCCAACAGGGTGATGTTATTGTCCTAGAAGAAGTCTCTTGTCCTGCAGCATTGTGTACTGTAGCATTGTCCTGTTGATAAACCCAGTGGTTACCACACAGACGAGGGGCCTCAGTCATGAGGGACGCTCTCTGCAACATCTGGACACAGCCAGCAGCGGTTTGACGCCCCTGCACCTCCTGAAGCTCCACTGAAGGAAAAAGCACCCCAGGCCATTATGGTCCCCCCTCCACTGTGGAGCATAGAGAACACCTCGGGTGGGATCTGCTTGTCATGCCGGTAACGTTGGAAACCAACAGGACCATCAAGGTTAAATGTGTTCTCATCAGCGAATAAAACTTTCTTCCACCTTTCAATGTCCCATGTTTGGCGCTCAAAGTCCAAACAGTCAGTTCTGTGGCGTCCAAGGACACGAGGCCTTTGAAGACCTTTCTTGTTTTGGAAGCCCTTCAGTCTGAGATGCCGTCTGATGGTTATGGGGCTGCAGTCGGCACCAGTAATGGCCTTAAATTGGGTCGAGGATCTTCCAGTGTCTTGACAGACAGGATCCTTCGGCTCTGTGCTGGTGAAGTTGTTTTGGGTCTTCCACTTGACTATTTTGTTCCATAACCCTCAAGATCATTTAAGAAATTCCAAATGACTGTCTTACTGCGTCCCCACCTCAGCAGCGATGGCGCGCTGTCAGAGACCCTGCTCATGCAGTTCAACAGCCCGACCACGTTCAAAAGGGAACTTTTTTGCCTTTGCCATCAGAACGTCATGACAGTGAGACTACCTGACAGAAAATGATGAATCCACATTTTAACACAGATTTGGCCTTAAGGCATGTGGACCTAAACTTTGGATCAGCTGTGAAACAGCCTGTTTCAGTTTAAGTGTTGTTTTCAATAAATTGCATGACCCAAAAATGTTTTGTGTCACTCCCATTCCTTCTTGTTGCACGTTGAAGCTCTACTTGGAACCTTGTTAAGATCCAAACATGCAAAATAGGATTTTTTGCCATTTTTCAACTGGTCTTAAAGTTTTGCTCAGGACTGCAGTAAAATGTTTCAGTTGAAACATTTGATGCTTTCTCTATGTTCTATTCTGAATAAAATGTTTTTACACCACATCCCAACTTTTTTGGAATTGTGGTTGTACAAAGGTCACATTGGCCAGGAGTTGGAAAGCAGCCATGATGGTTCATGTAACATCTCCACATATATTTTAGGACGCAGCTGGTAAAATCCACAAAGAGCATTAAACCTCAGCACCAGCACGGGTCAGCTGATTAGTCATTTCCTGCCACTGAACAGCTACAAAGGTTCCCCCCTTTCCCCAGTCCCAGTTTAACCCTCAGGTCTACAGGTGTACGGCTAGCTGAGTAATTGTCCTAAAAAAATTGAGTGCACTGAGTTATATCACATTCAGACCAATACAGTGGCAAAAGCTAAACCCATAGGCATAACCACAGACAACATAAAAGATGGATGAGGCCAATGTGAAATCACCGACTGCTTGTTTCCAACCTGGATATGGCAGTGAGGGGTGGATCCAGCTATGAAACCACCCGCTCATTGGTTAATGCCTTGTGTGTTCCCAGAGGTGACAGCAGATTACCCATGTAACACTACAGGACATACAGTTTTTATGCAACTATAGCTGTTAACCCCTGCTGGCCTTTTGAAAAGAAAGGTATGATGGCGCCTGTGTTTGGCTCTGCCGCTGCCGGGTGCAGTTTGTCGCGCTCTGCTACTTTTGTGTTATTTTTTTCTGCTCTGCTGTTCTCACTTAGTTTTAACGATGTATTGGCTGCCTTGGTGTATGATCGTCTGGCTTTGCTATCCATCCAATCCTCACAATGTCTCTTCGTCCTCCGCCGGTATTTTCCACCCGCCTCCATCAGCTGGAGCCTCGCTAGGCACTTTCGGCGGTTCCTCTAGACCACGGAGAAGGAGAGGGAGAAGAGGAGGTATTTGGGTAAAGCTCAGGCTTTACTGGTGGCGGGGTTTGGCTGGTAAGAAACGCCGAGCGGACCTTGTCTCCTGTGCTCGGAAAAGCTCCATGGAGGGGGACTTGTCTTCCACTTCCCTGTCTGAGGAGGGTTTATCCAGACTCTTCTGCCGTCTGGCCCTTTATTCCCTCGGTGAGTGGATTCTACGAGTGTGATGGCTCAAACGTAGATACTCAACAGTATCTACGTCCTGTAACTCGAGCCCCTGCAAATACTGAGGCTTCTACCTCGCTGAATATGGCGCTTTTTAATGCTCGATCTCTGTCTAATGAATGCCAAAAATGAGCTCCCTCCACAGAAACAGCCCTTCTTAGGGTCTCAAATGACATTTTGATGAGTAATGATGCAGGAAAATACTCTGTCCTACTTATGTTGGACCTCACATCGGCTTTTGACAGTGTTGACCACCACATCCTCCTTGAAAGGCTTCAACACTGGGTTGGTGTATCTGGAACTGCCTTAGAGTGGTTCCCCTCATATCTACATCACCGATCCTTTTCTGTGATGGTCTCCGGTTTTAGGTCATCCTAAATTCACATGTGACACCATTGCTATCTCAGCTTCACTGGCTTCCTGTGGAATTTAGAGTCCATTTTAAGATCCTGGTCTTGACATTCGGAGCCTTGCATGGACTGGCACCAGTCTACATCTCTGATCTGCTACAGCCATATGTCCCTAGCAGGTCCCTGAGGTAATCAGATCAGGGCTTACTTGCTATAAAAAAGACTAAGATGAGAACTAAGGGTGACAGAGCTTTTGCCACTTTTGCCACTGGCCCCGAGACTGTGGAACTCTCTCCCCCAAACATTAAGAACTGTGGACTCAGTCGTTGTTTTTAAAAAAACAACTCAAAACTCACCTTTTTAACTGTTTTTGATTAATTTTTGCCTGTTTTATATTGTTTTTTTTTTCCTTTTATTATTTGTTATCTTATGTGCAGCACTTTGTGACTCTGTCTAGAAAGGTGCTGTATAAATAACATTTTATTTATTTGTTTGTAAGGTTCATAGGTCTATGGGCATGACCGGAGTCACGAATACACTCGCTGAAGCTTGGTGCCATTCAAAAACTCAGTGGTTGTGTTGTTAGACACACATGGATGAAGTATAACTTGTGGCATGAGAAACATATTGTAAACATAACTGAAGCAGCTCCACACTGCCGACTGCATCATTCACCCTAACGGATAAAATGCCGATGAGACAAGCTTCCAAACGTCAGTCAGTAAATGTTCCAACTTTGGTAAAACACGGACCACCAAATCAGCAACATTTACAAAATCAATGAGCCACACAGTAAAAGCACAGACTGAACATTAAATGTCCACAATGGAACCCGCTAATGAGAGCCGATAAAGTGCCTCATAGAGGCTCTTTTCAAAGGAAACTTGGGACGCACTTGGTCTCTGATGTGGAGCTCATCCGTTTGTAGCGCATGCAAGAAAGATCACTGCATCATTTCACGTGGAAAACTAGAACATATCGATAAGCCTGAGAGAAGAGCACGAAGCACAGCTCCGTGTGAGACACGAAGCAGATCCACGCGCCTGTGTTACAGACGGACAGTCAGCGTCACGGTTACCAGAAAAAGCCCGAGAAGACACGCGGTGTGTTTGGTTTCCACGGGACAGAGTTACTGTTAGTAAACGCATCTCCGTGTTTCCAGAGTTCAGCTGTCAGCATCGTGTCACCGCTGCTGTCACACAGACTAACCTCTACCTGCACACGCAGCCGCTCGCCTTTACCTGCTGATGATCACCGCTCCTTTGTACATGACTGAAAACGTTGGCATGTTGACATGGAGCCCGGTTCTCCGGTGAGACAGGCGGAGGCTCGGTCGCAGCGTTCAGCCTTCAGCCAGCAGCCACATGATGGTGCACAGGCACTAATTCCAGCGAAGCAGCCTGTGCGCTCCAAACATCTCCACCTTCAGCCACACGGTTAATCTCTTACATAACTAAAGTCGGCGGAAAATGAAAAAAAAAAAACCCTCTGAGGCTGGAAATGATTCGGTGGTTTGTTTCGCACACATTTTTCACCCTACCTGTCATTTTCTCTTGCTGTGGCTGTGCAGCGGCTTTATTTGTTGCTGGGAACAGCTCCATTCAACGGAATCTGCCTTTCCCCCTCTCTCTGGATGTTTGTGCTACTTTGATGGTAACGTGTTTAATTGTGTTTGGCCTCGTTACGCGTGAACATGAGTCTTTTCATAGATTCTACCCACACTTCCATTTGTATCAACCACAGCTTCTTTTAAGACGATATTGGCCATTGCGCTAACAAGTTCTTGTTGAGCCAGAGAGGAGGGGCTTACGAGCCTTTAAACACATTAATGCACAAGTGCCCTGCTCTCCATTTAGAAACTGCAATTTAATCCCCAGATGACATCTATTACTCTGCCTTCATCTTTAGCATTCAGACCGTCTATGCTGTCATCTTCACTACTCAAACAACGATTCTTCATTTTGGCTTTATTTTGCTCAGCTAATGTTACAAAAATGCGAGAAAGAAAAAGAAAAGTTACCACAGTGCTGTCTCAGCTCAGTGCTGCTAGGAAGCTTTTTTGTTAGAGACAGCCTCATCCATGATCCCTAAAATGA